AAATTCCTCTGGTGTCCACTGTTCTGTGGTAGGTCCAAGTCAGATCACAGAAATGTGCTGTGTACTCCAGCCAAGCTTGCCATGAGATTTGTGCTGGCTATGGGGCTGATCTTGGCCTCTGAATGTGGAGCTGGCACTGGTCTTCTGTTGCTGAGTTCTCTCTGAGCTCTTTCATGTAAAATGACGGTTCCACCTGCCCTCTTCAGTTCTGAGTGTCTGTGTGTTGAAGCACAGTGCTGGTTCACCTATCTTACCAACTGCTGGCTCACATTTTCACTGCTGCAATTTTTGTTCAAGTTTTTCTCAGAGATCCCTGGTGGAACAAACAGGCAGAATCACAGGAAGGAGGATGCACAGAGCGCTGACTGGTCCTGAGGAACACAGCACAGCTCCTGGTCCTGCTGCTCCCACAGCCGCCATACTCTGGGCTTTTCTCTTTTCTGAACTCCTGGGCCTGCTTCACAGGCACAGGTAGTCTTACCTATTAACCTACTAGATATGCACTGTTTTTAAAGCACTGCTGTTTAATTTGGGGGGAATTTATCACTCCTTTCCTCTTTCAGTGTGAGTTCTGAACTATTGAATGTTTCGTTAGTGTTTGTTCCTGTTTTGTCTCAATGACTAAATCCATTAAATTATAGTGTGTGTGTGTGTGTGTGTGTGTGTGTGTGTGTGTGTACACATGGAGACACACACTTTTACCTATATAGCTAGGTATATGTATATGTGAGTGTGTATATATGTGTGTGTGTTAAAAATATAGTGAATGTTTAAGTTTTTTTTAAAAAAATATTACAGTAAAAGGCACATTGTCATCAATCCCCCTCAAAATAACACCCCCCCTTGCTTAGAACACGCTTACCCATTTTTCTTGCCACTTTCTGGAAGTCCTTTTTCATGAATGTCTTTTAGTTACACTGTCCTGGCTGTCTTGAAAACCTGAGTTGATCCAAAACATTTACCTTTCATGGGGAAGAGCCAGCGTTGCACTGTGCCAGGTGCAGTGAATAAGGTAGATGGGGACACATTAGTTACTTTTCTGTCACTGCTGAGATGAAACACCCAATGCCCAAAATTAAGGAAGGAAATTTTTATTCATCTCACAGTTTGTGGAGTCTTCAGTCCATAATTAGCTGGCTCCAAGGCAAGGTGGCACATGGCAGAGGAGTAACAGTTCATGGCTGTGGAAGACAGCAAAAGCCGCAAGAGCAGAAGGGGCAAAAGGCAGGAGCAAACCTCTTTCCCTCCCTTATATTGTACGCAGGCCACCTGCTCCTGGGCAAGTGCAGCACTCAAACTGCCAATCGCAGCAGTAGAAAACAAACCAATCACAAACTCTAGATTCAGCCACCTCCAAAAAGCCTGCCCCCATGACCAACCACATGAGGCTTTGGGGGGACATCCACACATAGACCATAACAGTTTCTGTTGAATGGTATTCAATAATAAAACTCAACATATTTTTGACCACCTTGCATAGAGACAGGAAAGAGGGCTTCCTTCACTGCTTTGGAAAGTGGCAAGCATGATGGATAAAGGTCTTCAGGGTGAGGGGGATTAATGGCGACATGTCTTTTACTGGAATAAATTTTTTTATTTAAATATACATCATATTTTTGATCACTCCTTAGATATATACATACATATGACTGTATTTGTGAACGTATGTTTTGATAGGCAAATAAATTAAAAGAGCAAGACTGCTCTGGCTAGTCCCATTCACAGAAAGTGCACAAGGAATTTAGACAGGATTGTCTGAGATGGTTAAAATGGAGTTAAACTGAACATTTCCTTGAGCTGAAGTTTAGAGCTAGAAGTAGTTATCTAATCGGAGAAAGAGGTTCTTCAAACCAGCTCAAATGGTAAAATTAAAAAACCTAATTCAAAGAACATAAGAAACCTAAGTTAAAGTGAAGATTAAAATTCTAAGCTCTAATTGAGCTGGTGGTGACCAAAGAGTTAGTTTAGAGGACACTATTAAAAGACCTTTAGTAATTACATCAGGTGAGGCTGTTATTAGTAAGGGAGGTTGTTCTCCTTATGTCTGTCTAGGGCAGAAAAGATTTCTCATCTATCGCAAGGTGTATGGCTGAGGTAATTATAGTGAGAGACAAATGAACATGAGAAAAACATACAAACTTACTTAATTAGAGTTCTATGGAAGTTTTCAGAAAAGACCCTGCCCAAACAGATAAGCTGAATTTCTATGGACAGCATGCAGAAGTCTGATTGGAAAACAGAGGAGTGTGATCTAATGGTGTGTTCAGATTCCTCCGTGTCCCTATGTTTTTAGAGAGAAGGCTATGCTTTTCTTCTGGGTGGTAGACAGGGAGCTTCTGGAATGATTCTTTTGATTCACTTCAGGGGAAGGTCAGCTGAATTTTATGGCTAAGCACATAAAAGGAAGTAATAAGGAGAATTCCTTCTGGTTTCTATGATTTGCTTCAAAAGAAAGGCAGGGAGATGATCACAAAGAATTTCCTGCTTTTCTGGCTTCCTCAGAGGCCATGGTGTCATATGTTGGGAGGGTGTGTCCTGACCCCCATCGCAAGCACGCATGCATTTCTTACTGTGGTAATTGTAGATTCTGAGGAAATTTACTGATTCTAATCATCACAGCTTTTACGATGGATGAGCAAATGTTGGGATTGTCATCCAAACAATTGTGGCATCATAGAATTTGTGAAAAATACATTATGAAAAAATTACTATGAACAAACTACGTTGATATGAGAGATAATGAAAATCAGATGGTCTTCTGGGAAGGTCTCCACAAGGTGGTCGTAGAGGAGCTAAGCCCAGCTGAAATGAAGGAGGCAGCTGTAGGAAATTCTGCGGAGGCAAGAACAATGGCCCATGTGGTGCTGGACATGGAGCAGAGTTGTAGCAGAGGAGGTGGAAGGAATCTGTAAGGAAAAATGGTAGACCAGATGAAGCCAGAAAGACTAGGATGGTTAGTGTGCTGAGGCATTACCATGTGTATTAACTTATCAAAAAGTGCTGTTTGTACTATGTATTCTCTGTTTGACTTTAGAAAATGACTAAATGTAGAGCCTCGATTTTCCTATGTGTAAAATGAAAGTGCTGAATTAATTATATGAAAGTATCTGGCTTATGGTAACCTCTCCATAAGTGTCAGTGGAATTAATTATTATACCTAAAGGCTCTTCCGGGTTATATTCTTTGGCCATCATCTACCTGTATTCTTCCTTGGAGGTCATGTGATCCCATCCATTAGTGGGCTTAGCCAATGCCACACAGGCACAGGGGAAGGTCCATGGACAATATGGAGTGCATTCTTCCTCTAGGACAGCACTGAAGAGCATGGAGAGTCCTCTGAGGTCCGTGTGTGTATCGTTGGAGGTGATGAGGAGGGAGAGACATTAAAACAGGAGAATAAGAAGCAGACTCTGCTTATTATGGAACCTGAATGCATAGGAGACAATGCAAAGGATGACTTTCCAGTCCCTTGTGAGGTCAGTGCCCAAGAAGCACTACTGACCAAGAGTGACAGTCAAGTGTTTAAGGAGGTGACATGGGCTGACTCAGGAAATTTATACATCATCGACGTTAACACTGCGAAAACAAGACTTCCTGTGCTCTTACCAGGTGCTGGGAGCCACAAGTGCTATCCATACACTTCATTTAATTCACACTGAAAACTCGTGAGGAACTTGACTGTTTTAAAAGTGGGGAACAGAGTCAAGGAGACAGTTGGGTGCTCAGCGACTCCCAGTGGGTCAGTGGGGAGGCTGTGATCTGAGCTCAGATATCCACAGCTCCAGAGTTGGTACTCTCGTCACTCATGAGATACTGCTTCCCAAGTCGAGGCGGAACCGGAAGTTCTTTCTAGGCCCAGGGAATAATGTGAACAAAGGTAGGGATTTCGAGCAAGGCCTCTTTATTTGGGAACTGACTGGTTCTGCCATAAGCAGGGCTATTGGAGTTAGCTAGGAAGCTTGCCACTTCCCTCCATTTATGTCCTTTCTTACCCCTGCATGTGCTTGACATGTATCGCTTTTCTCCAGAATAATACTTTTAAGGTCATCTCAGACCTTTTGGAATTGCTTGGCTGTGAAAAAGGAAGTCAGATATCTCTTATCTATTCTCTCTCTGTAGATATTTATATGTGAACTTGTTAAATTTGTATACTTTTATATTTTTAACTTGGCCATCCCTCTTAGCTCTGCTTTTTAACAGCTTAGGAAAAAACCCTTGAAACCTTGCACCCCACAGGTCCAGAGTCATATATTTTCCACAATGAAAACACAGCACACACATAGTCTGTGTGTATGTGGCATTGTACTGTGTGTCTGAATCGGATGTCCCAGTTGTTCTGAAACATGTGACCTTCTGTGGGTTTCCCAGGTGCAGGCCATAGGCCGTGGGTTATGCTACAGGATTAAGAATGAAGGGAATGAAGGGGCTGGGGATTTAGCTCAGCGGCAAAGCGCCTGCCTGGCAAGCGCAAGGTCGTGAGTTCGGTTCCCAATACCGGAGAAAAACCAAAAAAAAAAAAAAAGAATGAAGGGAATGAGACCAACCTACTGGGTATTTGATATTGTTATGGCAGTACTAGTATAGTTCCACCCATGGTGTTGGTATTGAGAATAAGTTTTAAGGATCTTTATCTTTCCAGATTCATATAAAGATAATGTGGTGTGGGGGAGGAAATGGGTAGAGGGATGGGAGAAAGAAGATTCAGCTTATACATGAGTAAATGTTGAAGCTGGGTGAAAGCAACATGATTTATTATAATTTTCCCCCACTTTTTAAAGTATTTGGAATTTTCTGTAACAATTTTTTTTTTTTTTTTTTTTTTTAATATTGGATCAGATTGAAGGAGAAAGCAGAGTGATACCACAGTACTGGAAGAGGACTACTGCAGAAGTACGATCCAGACACGTGGAACACTGTGCCAAAGGCAGGGCCTTTAATTCAGATATTTCATTGAAAATGGTCTCTGTCACATGGCAGAAATAAGAATCCACAGCCTAAGCTATGTCCACATGTACACATTTATTTGGGTTTAGAGAGACAACACAGGTAAAATACTTTGCTCATACACAAGTTTATATTTGGTAAGAAGAACAGGTTGACAAATAGTTGTATATTTTCTCTTTAATTTATTTTCTGTCTTTAGCGATGGAGTGATGCTGGGAGAATGTTGACGTTGCTTGGAAACACCAGTGGGGAACAGTATTTGGCACACAAAACTAATAATTACATGGTGTTTGCATTTAGCACTTGAAAACAGAAGAGCACATGCAAGATGACACCCAGTTCGAGGTTCCTTGATACATGTCCTGCTACTATATTTACACCTGTGCTTTCATTTTTCCATATTCTAAGGAGCGGCATCTACTCCAAGGCCCAGCAGAGCCAACACCTGCAATGCTGGCAGTTTGTGACACTCCATGCCTGGTTTCTACTGTTCTTAGAGACAAAGTAGTGGTCACCTTGCATTTTGTGAAGTCACACAATTCTTAAAGGTCATTGCTCAGGAGGGAGCTTAGTTGAGAGCATGTTCTGTATTAGAGCTGATGTGGAGGACATCACATCATGTTGGAGGGAAGAGAAAGAGAGAGAGAGAGAGGTGCAAATGGAGTTCTCATAATATCCAAGTTCGATACAGCTACCACAGAGAAGACAAACCAGTACTATATTGTATAAGCAGTTACAGCAACACATGTTATTGCAACACTGTACAGTTCAGATATAAAGTGCACAACCTCAATTGGAGGTGACAAGACAGTACTATCAATATAATAAAGGCAAAACAGTCACACATATAATTGGTTTCCGTAGCTTTCCTCACATCCTCTAACAGTACATGGAGTATATATCCTTTATAATTCTCAGATAAAGACATACTTGTACTTTGTTCAAGTATTATAAATAATAAACACAATATTGCTATATAAATGAAAATGGCCATGTTAATTCTGATTAAAGCTAAAACCAAACATTTCTAAAATTTGTAAAATACAGTCTCACATAAAGACCTTTGGCAGTAGGAATTTGGGCTAATGTTCAAAACCATCTCCCTCTCTCTTTTCCTTCTTTCTTTCTTTGGTTCCTTTTTCTTTTCTTCCTCCCTCCCTCTCTGGAGTGGATTATAGATCTGCCTCACAGAGTATTTATTAAACTACTGAGACCTGCTAGGCTTTTGTTTGCCTCTTTTTCAGGGCTATGGTTGGTGAGGATTTTCCTAGGTTCTCAGCAAACTGTGTAATAACCTGGAGGGGGCTGAAATTAGGAGAGGAAATCTAATAGTAAAAATTACTCTGCTAGCTTTCAAAGTCAGGCACAGCTTCTCCTTTTAAATTCTGTCATTGCACCAAGCTAAGAAGTGGCTTCTGTTAGAAGGTTGGTTCCTCAAGGGCCTGGAGCAGAAAAGAACTAGTCCATCAAGGCACGGCTGCCTATCTTCTCCAAGTGAAACAGTGTGTTTGGTAAAGTAATGTCTCTGCCTCTGAAACGAAACCTGGGAGTCGGAGGCTCGAGATGGATGGGCAAGTATGTGCTTTATTTTCCGCAGCCATCTCTAGGAAGGAAAGGGGTACTTCTCTGTTAGGGAAAGCCTAAAATGGGAGGTTGTTCCTTCATGAAATTCTGCAGTACACATTCTTTTTCTAATTGCCAAAGGGAACCCATTTACTTCCTAGAGAAAGACAGCCCAAAGCCATTTTCATATCAATCATTAGCGGTTTTTGTAGATAACCTGGGAGAAAGAAGGGAGCGGTCAACTCATGATTTCAGACGGTTCCATCCTGTGATTATATTATGGGGTATTTTTATCTGCTAAAGGACAAGGACTTCCTTGTTCTGTACTGCAGGTTTTCTGACTACTGAACTGTGCTAGCCACATAAAAAAGGTAGAATGTTTCTGGACATGCCTCTGCAGTCTGCGTGTAAAACACTGCAGCTGTCTCATCCGCATTTGGAGCCTGACTGTCTGTGGCCCCATAAAAATCTACAATAACTTCTCTTAGTTCCCGCCTCTCCATCAGGTTTGCAGGGAAAGAAAGATGATTTTAAAATAGTATTTTGAATTCTAAACTTTGCTGCATATTCTGGTCGCTTTGAGTCTTGGTGGGAGATAGATTAAAGAAGGTCGTAGGCTACCTCAAAAGTCTGGAGTGAGGAGCTCACTTCATGAAAGGAAGCTAAGTACTAGTGTATTCATTAATTATTCGGCATCCCAGATAGAGAGTCTGGCAGGAGAGACTTCTGCGTGAAGAACTGGGGAGGAAGAGGGGATAAGCAATCATCCAGGAAGTAAATGACTCCTTTCTGGACAGTAGCAATATGGCACCTAGGGTGATGTTATTGTTGTCATGCGGAGATCTCATCTCACAAAGCCGAGTTTAACATCCTGGGCTCATCACATTCTGGGAATGTGCTTCATTCTTCTTTGTTCAGGCTGACTAGGTTTTATCTTTATTTTCTCTAATTAATTCAAATGACCTAATAAAAGAATACTGTTTGGGAAGATGCTTTAAAAATCAGCATCAACTTGTGTTCCAAACAGGTCAAACTGGATAGCAGAATAGAGCACTTTCTCTAATCTTATCTAAGGTGAAGCCTGGCTTTCCATGCTCCCAGAGTGGGCCTGCTAAGGAAAACTAGCTGGAAATTTTTAAATGGAAAGAGAATCTTAATTGTTGATCTGATCAATTATTTTTTACCAATCTGCAGTATTATTTTGTGTTTATTTTGATACGGTAACTTTCGAGATATGATTAAACCATCATGCATATTGAAAGAAGGAATTATACCTTTTAAGAACTTTGTGGGCCTATGTGTTAAAATAACCTTGCTAAGTGTTTTATTGTGCCTCCATTAAAAGAAAGAGAAAAAAGTCTGGCTTAGGTTTTCTATCTGCCCCTGCAGTTTGTATAACCCATATAAAATAAAAATCTATATGTTACAAAATAGGATTTCTTTTTTATATATATATATTTTTTCCTTTTGTAAAATTATATGTATTTAAATACATTTGAAGTGTTACTATAGGTAAATTAGAAATTTTTTCTAATACTATGAAAAAGGCAAGAGTTTTATTGTCAACATACATTTTATATTTACTTTATCCTTTTCACTGTACCCCAAAGAACCTTTTACGATTCAGGGGCAATTTGGCACTATTCAGTCTTACTACTCTGAAGAGAAAATAAAGTTTGATTTTGCACACTATATTAAAAGCAAGGGAAGTATTTATAACAACTTTAAGCTTTTCCTTATTGATTAGAACACAGCCGGTTGTCACTAATTAATACAGAGGTATTCTAAACTTAAGAAAGGATTTTTAAAGGAGCGGTGGTTTTTCCTTTAAATTTTTAAACAGTACTCTACTATGACACCACAATGTAGAAATAGATTTACTTTGGAACAAACTACAAATACATTTACACAGTTCGTGACAACTTAATTGTCTACCTAGAGAACTGAAACAGCCTGGTGAGCTAGGTTATTATAAATCTTGTCCAAGGCGCTCTATTTCTTCAATCAGGAAGTCAATGTCTTGGTGAGTTGCTGCGGGGTTTGAGATGACCATGCGGAAGAAATTGACCTTGTCTCCCAAAGGTTGGTAGCTGACCATTGTGGTCCCATACTCCATCATTCGGGCTTTAATCACTGGAGCGACCTGTAGGAGAGACCTTATCAGAGCTGTAACTTTCTCCTGGGGACTCTCCCCTAGTCAAGGATCCTAACAAAGCAAGTGGAATTTTCAGTTTTTAACTAAACAGAACGATTTGTTTTCCCTTCAAGGAATTGCCTTCAAGTTTTCATGAAATCAAAGGACCAGAACGGTTCAAAATATTCAAAATCAGGCACATCAAAGAGCAATGGTAAGCTGTTAGGCATTTGCTACCTTAGCATTGATTTTCTAGTTAGTGTTCCGGGAAAATGAGAAGAATCTGGTACTGGTCCCAAGGCTAAACGATTTAGCAGTAAAACTATTGGAGTTTTTCTTCTAGAAAATAAAAAATCATTGGAAATAAAACATGGGTCTTAGAACTCTTACCAAGATAAGCCTCGTTATCAAGGGTTGTAAGAAGGTAATAGACTTTTGGCAACTTTGCTGAGATCTACATTTTTCTAGTTTTATTTTTATTCTCCTTTTGCATTGCCTCTGTTTATAAGATATTTTGGAAGATCCTACTTAGTAAGATGAAGAATTGGCTGGAGTAAAAGTCTGAACTCACAGGAATACACACACAGAAGTGCACAACAGACAAAGCTTTTCGGTGACGCCAGGCTGCTCGTTACAGCCTTAGTAGTTACCCCCAATCTTCAGCTCTGACAAGACTAATTCATTAAATACCCTTGACACACTGTGCCATTCATATTTTCATCCCTCACACTTGTTATCAATCTTGCCACGTCACATTGGTTCTCTTTGCTTAGAATCTCTTTCTCTACCAGTTTAGATCATCTACTTCTATGGCTGCTGTAGAGCTTTTCCTGTTTTCTCTAAATCATTGGCATCTTTTAAGTTTTAACTACATGATCCTTACCCATAGATTCTGATTATATGTGAATTTCCTGTTAGTGTGTTACTAATGAGTAAATACATTTTCTCTATCTCAACTGTAAGTTCCTGGAGGGCATATTTGGTCCCTTTTAATCTTATTCTTCCCAAGACAGTGCTAGGTATGTGTTGAGGGCTTTCTTAGTTCTAATCAGCTATAAAAAGTAGAATGACACCAGTAGCTACCCAGGAAGTGGCACATATTTAAGTTGTATCCAACTCAATACATGAACTATCCATATTTACCATTGGTGTTGGTGCCTATAAGGTGTAACTTTTTTTTTTCCAGTGCTGAGGTTTGAACTCAGGGCCTCATGTGTGCTAGGCAAGCACATCACCACTGAGCTACATCCTTGGTTCTTTGTAAAATTTTTCCAAATTTTGAGACAAAGTTTTGCTAAGTTGCCCAGGCGGGTCTCACACTTGTGATCCTTCCAACCCTCCCCACACCCCTCATGCACACACCCCAGTAGCTAGCGTTAGAGACATGCCACAGTGTCTTGTCACCATCTGATCTTTCAAGCTCATTGCTGCAAATATACAACAAGGAATGACAGAAGTTAGACAAACTTTAGATTATTTGAGATACACATGGTTAACAGCTTAGTTGAAGATGGGGATCATGCCTTACATCACAGTTAGATTCAATTTAAGTGAAGGATGATTGGATTGAAATGAAGGGCAGTTTGATTCACATTATGAACATGTGACTTTTGAATATTAACTAATTAATATTCATACTAAGTAACGATTACTTTACAATGAGGTTTTAATGATCAAAGTACTAAATGCACAAAATCAGTAAGATCCAAATGAAGTCTAGTCATTTGTTGGTTTCCAAAGACAAAGCCAACAGATTTCATTTCCTCTTCATATTTTGAAGCTAGTTTCCTCATCTAAAAATGAGGGTGGATGATGATTCCAGTGCTGAGATGATCTCATTCTAGATTAACGAGTTTTATGTTCTTTCCTGTCTCTCCGTTACTCCATGGGGAGATGGTGTGAAGAGGAATGTTACTGTGGGGTACATTCTTGTTTCACTTAAAGGATTAAGGATGTATGTGGGATGCTGTGTCCACCGCAGGGACTAACTGCTTAAAAAAATTCAAGTATCTTGAGTTTGGACTAATTTCTGAAAACAGAGGCACTAGACTATTCCAGCCAAAGGACATGGAATTTATCACTCTGTGCTGCAAGGCAAGGCAAGGCAAGTCAGTGAGTTCTTGGGCATAAAAAATACTAAATTAGAAAAAGAATTTCAAATCCACACAGCTAGAGAAATTTAAGGGCAAAAAAATCGTACAACTTCCCCTTAGTTTTATTTGTATAAGTCATGCTTAATCTTTGTATTGATAAAACAATGATAATGCTTTACTTAAGTGACTTGAAGTCTGATTTCATTTTCAGGGCAAGCCAAGCAAAACCACATATGAGTGGCACTAGTTATTAAGGACAACCATCTCTAACTTTTCAGATGGATGCAAATCAAAGGTCAAAAGATTAAGGTTAACAGCTACATCCCAAACAGATTTTGACATGAAGCGAGATTGAATCCTCCCACTCCTGTCACAAGCTGAGTTGGCAGGAATCGCAGCTGTCTAAATACATATGACTTTTGGTTGCTTCCAGAAAATACTGAGGAACTAAAATTAGCTGGACAATGGAATATCTTACTTTATTGTTATTCACTAGTGGCAAATTTAAAAGGAAAATAAGATTCTGTCTATCCTGATAAATAGACATAGAGTTTTCTTCTGTTTCTAGATCTTTGGGGACTCAATTTCTTGGTTTTTTGTACAAAGAAACCCAGTTTGGAAAGAGGTGTTGCATGTTGAGGAAATCACTAACGATCTAGTCAATATGAGATCTTTGGGGGTGCCTTAAAAGATTTAGAGCATTATTTTCTCCCTGTGCCATTTGCTTTTCAATCTCTTAGAAAACAATAACCAAGGGACAAGTCCTAAATTTAAATCCATATTTGTGTCCTTATAAGAAGGCTTGTAGTCATCATGAAACAATCTTAGACACTATTACAGAAATTTATTTTTCACTGTGTGTTAGAGAGCCTTTTTGTTTCTAAATCTTTGAAACCTGAGCAGTGTTTTAAAAATGAGAAAGTAGAATAGGCATAAATAAGACATTTTGAAATGCTGAAGTCTCACTAAGTAAATTCTTCATTAACTCAGTAGAGTTTAAAAGAGTCACCTTAAATATGAGGCCAAATTACTTCCTTATCAATTTACTATTAAATCCATTGTTAAGCTTTTGAAAATTGTCAGTTTGCATAGGATTATGAATGCTGAGTAAAAAGGTGCAGACAAGCACGATGAATAGTTAAAATTAAAATAAGAGTAGGGGCTGCGGGGGGTAGCTCAGGGGTACAGTGCTTGCCTACTATTGGTGAGCTGCTGGGGTTCAACCCTAGGATTAAAAATCAACAAAACCAAAACCAACCACTCAACCAACCAAACAGAAGAGGAGGAGGATGAAGAGAAGAACCAGAAACACAAGAGGTGACCAAAACATCAGCCTTTTGACTCTTGTTTGATAAGTACTCGCCTAGAGTCTACTGATGCCCTTCTGTTTATATGTCTAAGAGGTGTGGTGTGGTCTTGTCCCAATAGGAACTGAGGCATTTTTCATTTACTCTGCCCAAGTGACAGTGTGCTACCTGCATACTCACAGCTCTGCTTGGGCAGCAGGAAACTCACTGACCAGATGGTCATCTTTATCTCCTCCTGATGATGTCACTGCTTGATTTAGTAATAACCACTTCTGTTATCTGTGTGTCTGACCCCAAGCCAATGCATGCTGAGAAAAGGCTCACTCCTGGGTTTCCTAAATGTTGTTTTCCTTCTTTACTGTAGAGTATGCAAAAAAATACTCAGTCTAGATTGCATGTTGGTATCTCCTCAAACTCAAAATCTTAATATGATCGTGTTATAAGGTGGGAGTCATTGGAAAGCTATGCCTCTATAAATGGTATTACTGCCTTGTACATCAGACCCCAGAGAGCTCCCTTGCCCTCCTTCTGCCACGTGAAGACACAGAATATAAAGTCCAGCTACCAATGTCAGCAGATGTGCAGTCTGCGTGCACCTTACTCTTGGACTTTCCAGACCCCAGAACTGTGATGAATAAATTTCTGTTGTTCATAACCCCCTCGATCTTTAGTAGTTTGTCATTGTAGCCCAAGAACATTATGACAGTACTGTAGCTCCACAAATGATTTTTGAGTGCCATTCCCAGGCATGAGGGTACAGAGGGGAATTCCTGGTCTTGCCCAGAATTTAACTTCTTTCTCTTGTTTCCCACACACTACACAGAAGCTTCCACATCACCTCTTCTTCTGGATCTCTATTTGCACGAAGAGAGCTAAGAGGATGGTAGAGAGGATTTTGTCTGTTCTAGCCATTCAATAGTCATTAGTCACAGCGGGGTTCTTGAAATGTGATGAGCGTGACTCAGCACTGAAATGTTAGCTGAATTTAATTCGAACTGATTTAAATTTAAATGTAAATAGCCTCACATAGCATTTATTATTGTTTTGGACAGTATAGATTATTGTAGCTCACCTCTTTCCTCTCTGGAAGTGTGTTTGTGTGAGAAGACTCAGTGGGTTCCTGGGCATTATACTTTAAGGGTTTTATAATTTCCAAGAAACTTTCTGAAACTTAGAAATATTATTGACACAGACAAATGAAAAGTAACTTGGATAGTTCATTTGATTCTACTTTCATATTTAAATCTACACTGAATTCTCTCTATTACAGTGATGAAAACATAATCAAAGAACAGAGAAAAATCAGGATTCATTTCACAATTGCCAGAGACTTTCATATTTGAATTACCAATAGCAGCAACAGTCTTTTATTACAAATTCTAATCGTTGTCCTCAGGAAATAATCTCCATCACCATCACAGGTTATGCAATATACTCAAATCTAAGAAGCATTTGAAAAATTGTATTTAAATGCAGAGACCTCAGAGCTGGACTTTTCTCAGAAACAAAAAAGATATTTTTATTATGTATTCCTGCTTTGGCCTATCCCTCAGCCCAGTGACGGTGAACTGATTTAACAAATGAAACAAGTCACACTCCTCTGTGAGTCTGTCTGCTTAGCAGGATTATGAAAGAACCAAACAGCAGTAAGAATGGAAAAATCTAACTTATAACTAACTAAATAAAATTAGTCATTATCAAGATAATTTACACTATGGACAAGCAGCATCCATCATACAGTTTCAGGGTGAAAAATGAGCTATTTTCTCTCAAATGACTATAGACTCCAGCCTACCTTTTATACTCCCTCTCTCTCACTTCCTGGGCTTGTAATACCAGAATGAACCAATTTAGCCAAGCTTCAAACACAAGCGCTCCCACTCCCACCTCAGACATGTGCATCATTAATCCAGGTTCTAGAAATTTTCTTCCATCTGTTCTTAGGTTAGTGGTTCTCAACTACAGAGCTGCACACTGGAGTAACCTGCAGAACTTTCAGAAGTATTCCCAGATCCATCCAAGAGCAATCAGATCAAATTGTCAGGGTAAGACATGGTTACCTGATTTTATGAAACTTAATACCATAAGGTACAGTCAGGGTTATGAACCACCATTCTAATTAGGAGGATTGGCTTAAAAGACCTATGGCCAGGCATTAAGTTTCCTCCTAATAAGAAGTTTGATCCTGAGTTGCTTAAGGGCAGGTATTAATATTTATACATTTTACTGGAGGGCGTTGAATCTGTATAACATCTTACTCTTGTCTTTGTATAGAAGGAAATAAGGTCTGAAAGGTGAGTGAGGTATCCCAGGTCCATAGTAGTGGAGAGGATGGCCTGCCCTGCTTCCCGCAGTGACTGGCAATGAGTGGACAAGGATCCTTCTTTTATGGTAAGTGAAGAAACACCAAATGAAACAACCAACCCTTTGAGATCCAAATTACATACTCACTCCTAGTTTTCCATTCCAATAGCACCTAGAGACATGGACCTTGCATTTACAGTATCTCCCACTGGTGTGTATCGTAAACCATACCTCACCCATGTTAAATGTTGGGAGCAGCCAAGGATTGCTTACAGATAAAAAAAGTATCTTACTGACCAGGGTGGAATGTATAGCTCAGTCTCTCAGGCTCTGGAGTCAGACTTTCTGTGTGATTTTTGGGAAAGTTACTTTTCCTCCCTGCTCTTCAGCTCTCCCACATCAACCCAATCAGGTTACCATGAGAATTAAATGATCTAACACCCAATACATACTCTAAATGGTGGCTGTTATTATTATTGCTCCCTGTCCTGTTGCCTTCTGGGGCTGCACAGTTCTACAGACCCACAGTGGCTTTGACCTTGCATCCCCAGGGGGTCAACAACAGTTTGGCTTTCTAATGATTTCTAACACCTGGAGTCTCTTTTGTGCTTGTACCAAAACTACGAATCAGTTTCGCTTGGAAAATTGGCCAACTCCCAACAAAATTTCTTGCTGCTTTCTGAATACCAGTAAATGTCATTGCCTAATTATTAATTTTAAGGCACCATAAAGTCTCTCAAAAAGCAAGGAAGTAGGGTTGCAAGAGGCGGCTGGATTGATTTTGTATGCCCTGGCTCTGCTGGCGTCCACCAGGAGGAGTGCACAGACACATCAAGGTGGTATTTCTCACAAAGTCATGCAAGTATTATTAGAAGCATATGCATTTGAAAGACCCGATACACACACATACCAAAGCAGCACTCAGGGGCTGAGGATTTGGCTCAGCGGCAAAGCTCCTGCCTGGCAAGCGCAAGGTCATGAGTTCGATTCCTGGTACTGGAAGAAAAACAAAACAAAACAAAACAAAACAAAACAAAACAAAAACCAAAGCAGCACTCAGCACTTACCTTTGAGAGGCGACTCATTCTCTCCTCGTTGTCTTCCAGAGTACGCAAACTGGGAGGCACGTACCAGAAGCAGACATTTGTGTGCTGAGGCTGCAAAGATGAGAGGAAGATTCACAATCAGCTCGAACTGCCAAGGTTGAAAATTCCAAGGACACTTAAAATCTATTTATTCCCCAGATTCTGAATACAATTTGTGTTTTTAAATCGGCGACCTCCTTTGCAGTGCCTTGCTTTGCCATGACTTACTTGGATTCGATCTCCTTTCGAGTTCAGAAGTGCTACCTGTCATCCACTGCTTCCCCTTCACAGTGGTCCCACTTATTCACACTGGAAAATGCCAGTGATAAGGACTGGAATTGACTAAACTTTTGAGGATTGCTGAACTCCGAATACATACCTTCCCATCAAACACCATTTGGTATCCTTCTCGATTTTTTATGATATTGTACAAATACTCTGCCAGCTCCAGACACTTATCAATATGCGCTTCGAAGCCTGTAGTCCCCTATGGGAGAGAAGAACAAAGCTCAGTGGGCGGGCTGACGGTGGGGGTGTGACGCTCTCGCAGAGTTGCTGGATGAAGTGAGCCCTCTGGAGACTGATGGCCATTGTACCACTTTTCCCTCCACGCTGTCCTGGCACTGTCCTTTCCCAAGACTGTTTCCAGAGGCTTTGCTGTGCTTATTTCCCCTTTACTGCTCTTCCCCTCAGGTGCTTTTGCTCCCTGTCATTACTGTTCTCCACAGCTGACTCCTTTCCTTCCTCAGCCTCCATTCCCCAGGCTATCATTTTGATTACTCAAGGGGAAAATTTGCCTCCACAGTCCATGGAAGTAATCATGGAGGTCATTAACAGCAGAAGGGCAGGGCGAGTCTCCTCCCGCAGATAAGAAGTGTCATCAGAGACCCCGCAGGATGTCTGTTTGGCCCCTGCCCATCCCATAATTCTCCATCCCCAGACCCCTCACTATAGAATGATGCACCTCACTATAGAATGAACGGGGAAGGCAAACCTGAGTTTTAGCTGAACAAATGAATGACTCGTAGGCAACACGCAAGTGCTTTGTTAGCCTGTCATCCTGCCAGGCTCTTCAGCCTATTCTTAGGTGACGGGTCAGCGACTCATGTCTGTGATGGGTGAATACTGACACAGAGGTCTTTTAGTTTCCAGCTTTGGAAGCTCTGGCTCTATACTTAGGAAAAACAACACAACAGCCTTAGGCTATAGCAGTGTCAGGATGTGCCAGGGAATCACTCTTCAAAATGGCTTTCCTCTAATCTCCTTCAGCATTTACCGAATACTAAGGGAAAGCTTAAGAAAACAGCTAATGCTCATCCTGGGAGCACTTAAAAATTGTCTACCAGTAACCAACCCAACACGGAACTAGAGGGAGCACTTGTGATGCGGGTACTCCGGGCCCACTTCTGTGTACACACGTTCTCATCACCTCACAGGAAGGGGGATCCAGCACGGCCCAGTGACTTGTAACATCCGAAGCATGTTTAAACTGCACTGAAGAACTCTGATGGGTTCAGAAATCCATTTCCTTGATGATCACTATCCCAGTTGATTGACTCAGGGAGACTGATGACTCCTAGCAAGGGCTTGGGCTGATGCCTGAAAGCTCAGGCCAGCAGTTCGGCCACACACTCCATGAGCCTGAGGGTGCTAAGGAAATTGGAGTTGGTTTGGCCTCAACTGGCAGCTGGGCTCCAGGCTTTAAAGGCTTCCACAGGAGGGAGTGGCTCATGTACCAAGAACCTAGTTCTCCTACAGACAAATGCATATGTCATAAAATATTGCTCCTGAAGCAGCTATTGGATTCCCTGCTGTTATCTCCATTTCTACCCCTGCTACCCCTTCCAGGCACTCTTTCTCTTCATCTGGACTGCAGTTCCCTTACCATCCATCAGTCAGTTTAGATTCTCCACTTCTTTCAGGCTGTGCTCCTGAGCTCCTGTGTGACCTTCTTTCTGGAATGTCCTTCTCCCGGCTCTACTGCTTGTAATCCTATTTATTCTACTGTCTTGTTTAAGCCCTATGTCAACAGTCATCTGTTGATAAAGTTTTCTTGATTGTTAAACTATGAATGAGCTCTCTCATTCTCCATTCTGTGTCTGTGCTTCTTTCCTGACAAGTTATATTCTATCTTATATGACAGGGATTTCTGTATTTATTTTATCCTGCCCAGAAAACTGTAGCATTCTTATCACATCCCATTCAGCACCAGGTACAATAACAGATACACAACAGTTACTGATTAAAATTAATTATTATTTTAGAGAAAAAGTGAACAGTCACTCAGCAAAAGATGCCAAACATCAATTTTCCCTAATAATTTTCCCTGTTTTTCTTGTCCTCAACCATTTGCCAGTCTCTTTGTTACCAATTTTTCCAATTAGAGAGGCTGATCATAGGAAATTACAAAACCTTGCCAATTTGTATAGCCACATACAAACAAACACGAAGATTTACTATGACATCTTAATCGCTTCTTGAAGACCTAAAAATGGGGCAATAATTTTAAGGCTTGTTTATTTATTTTGTCTGCTGCTGTTTCAACCATTGAGAAAATTTGTCAGCATGGAAAATAAACATCAACACTTTGGATTCTGTACTAAGGTGTGATAAAATGAAGCCTACTTAGTGAGAACAGGCTTACATTTATTGTTAACATCACACGTCATCTTGCACCCACTGACACTAATCAAATTATTCTGGTCTTAATGTAATGGCTTCTTTCAGGCCATTAACTTCATTGGTCATTAACAGCTTAGTTTGAAGAATGGTAGTTTATACGTGAGTTTCTATTTTCCATGTGGTTTCATAAGGAGGAAACACAGATTCACTAGAACATTGCATTCTCCAGGCATATCTGGTTTAGTGCTCTATAGTCTTGCCTCTTTTTCAGTTCCTTAGTCCTGTGGGGATGGAAGACAGGCCATCATGGCCAATGCTTCCATGGTTGTTCTTGCATGGTTGTCTTGATTACAGAACTTTTGATGGGATAATTATCTTTACCTTTGATCTAGGTTGTGGGACTGAGCTTATTGCTTTAATAACTATCACCCCATTCTGTAAAAAAAAAAAAAAAACAACACAGCTTGAAGGTACAAAACTGGTGTCCCAGGGAAACCTGACAAGTCTAGGTAGGTGAAGTTTTGCATAACAAATTAAAAAGAATGTATGCTCACAAGCAAGGCAGCACCTGTGATTTTTCTTTTTTCTTTTTGTACCACTCTCTTCAAGTAATTTTACTTCAGTAATTTAAAAATAGCTCCTTTGCCTTTATTTTGCTCTTTGTCTGGTCCTGCTCTTTGATTTGCACCTGATGTTCACCAAATTATTTTTCTGAGACCCAACAGGCAGCCCCATGCTGGAGAGGAGGCTCAAGATGGAAAAGGAACAGCAGGGACTAATGAACCATGAGAAACATTTTTGTGTAAATATAGCTAATGATCATCATCTTAATAAAAAACACCACAGGAAAAGGAGACAAAAAGAACTACCCTTGAAGTAAAAGAGCTCATGGACACTATGTAGAGATCAAGCTTCCCTCAACTTACTATCTGGTACTTAACATCTGTAACTTTGTAATTTCCACCAATCAACTTGCTTGTTTTAAAACAGATTGGGAATAAATCAGCAACTAATAGCCTAGACTTTTTTTCTAAGTGAGAATGTCATGCCCAACAGAATGAGTCTCATGAGTGTTCGGTGGTAGGGACCAGTTACATGTCCCTGTCAGGTCCTCAGCCTTGGAAAGAGGAAGGAAGCCCCTGACCAGTGACAGGGATGGGAGCCCAAGTGTCTCACTTTGTGTAGCTGTCTGGTATCTAGCAACACTTGAGAAAGCTTTGGTTGGAGAAAACACTATTATGGAGACTTGCCTGCGAGCCATGTAGTCCAGCCATTGCTGGACATCATCTAAGAGTTATGTCTGCATTAAGAAAGACTATTTTTCTACTCAAACATTTTCTTTTGGCAGAATAGATTTAAAGAAGATTCGGTACAGTACTCATGGATTTCACTGCTTCTCTTCAAATCCCTTCTTCTTCTTGGTAGTCACTTTACCTTCTATGAACCACCTAAGGCAATTCTGTTTACTTGGAGAAATTTCTCTCTCTCTCTCACACACACACACATACACACACACACACACACACACACACACAACACACTATGTGGTATTTCCCAATATGTACATGATTCCTACCTCTATACAGATCCCAGGAAAAAGCCACTCCCTGATCTCACCCTGATGTGCCTCACTCCTCCTGACCAAGTTACCTGCTGGTTTCTACTGATTTAAGCCCGTTTTCTCATTATGCAGGCTACTGCCAAAGCATAGAGCTAAACATGTGGCTCTTACTACGTACATGCGCCCAACAGTACCCCAGCCTCTTGTCCATCTCATTAATCCTCAGCTTGCTTTGTCAGGTTTCCCTGGGACACCAGTTTTGCACCTGGGTTTCTCTAGCATATACTGGTGGCTCTGGCCATTGCCTGGAGAAAAATGAAACCACTGGTTCTGTTGGTTGGGAATCCAGTTGAAACTGAAAATCAAACCATTTACCTTTGCTGCCTGTTTAAGTTAAACATAAATATATTCCATTGGAAGGCTGCTATGAGACCTAGCTGACGCTATACACCATTACTTACAGTTTATGTTGCTGGGACAGGAGAGATCACCTACAGATAAGTTCTGAGGTCAACAGAACTCATATAAAAGGAGGTTGTTAGGTATTTCTGAAGTTTTAAAAAGGCCTTTATCTTTAAAAGTTATCTCTTAAAACATCAAAGGTAAGTTATCATTGTAGACATTTTTGCATTTTTCTGTTCTTCAAATATACTTTCAGCTTGCACTAACTCAACTAGACATCAATCACTGAGTGAAAACCAATAGCCCAGGATGAAATAAACCAAACCACAATAATGACAATAAGAAATACCTCTTAAGAATCAAAGTAATCTGGCATATACAGTAGAATGGATTTTCTTTTCTAGATGTGGACATTAGAAGTTGCTGGGTTTAGAAGAAAACAAAAACTGGTTTGATTATATCCTTACCCACATAGAATGCAGGTATGTAGACACAGGATTCAAGAAATTGAACTTGAGTAATTCTCAATTTAGTAATCAATTTGTTAACATGTCATCAGATAGTCACTTCCTTTTAGTTGACGCACGCTCACCTTTGCCCTCCACATGAGCCATAATTTAAAAACATCCACGTGGCGTCCACACTGCAGGGCTTTGTCTCCAGTGTCATAGGACAGGTCATAGTGCTTGTCTTGCTGGAAAAGGTAGGAGGCATGCATCTGGTTGCAGCTTTGCATCAGTCCCTAAAAGAGAAAAGAAAAGTGAAATTGTAGGAAACTCTATTGGCTGTCCATTCGCTTTTCATTGTGTTGAGAATTAGGAAGGAAAAAAAAGAGATGTATATTTTGGAAAAAGAAATCAATAAAAATCAAATTGAAAAAAAAAAGATGGGGCCAGTGTCTAGACAGACTGCCCAGGCTCTTGTAATGGGTTAATTCTGCAGCTCACTGGCCCAGAACTGAAAGTTACCAGAGGCTAACAAGGACATACTTGTGCTCTTACACTTCCTTTCAAGAAAAGGTATTTATAAAAATAAGAATAAATAAAAATCACAGAGTATGATAGTCCTTAGGAGACAATCCCAATGTTCTGATTTTGTTAAAAATATTTCACAAATTCTCCCGTTCTGTAAAATACTATTAGTGTGGCTCATCTAGTATTTCCACCCACCTCTGGCACAAAAACTTTAGCATATAGCTGTTAGAGTTTAAGCTGTCCTTGAAAACCATAGCTTTTCAAACAGTTAATTGCTGTTATTTTATATGCTGAAATAAAAAACCAAAGGCATTGCAATTCTTTTTTTTTATTAGTACAGGTTTGTAGTACATAATGGTTTGCATTCATTGTGTGGAGCTAGTGCCTGTCCACAGCACATCCTAATCTTTTCTACATTCCCTTCTCCTCATTTCTTCCATCTCTTGGTGCTTCTTCCACTGGGAAAAGATCTATCGCCACGTTTCCTATTATCTCAGAGGAATTTAAATAATCGTTCCCATGTTATGTTCTTCTCTCAGTAGTCAGGCTTCCGCACTGCACTTTTATACTCAGTTACTAACGGAAGTTGCAAAAGAAAGTTTTCTCATCAGTGACCAAGAATCTGCCTGGGCACCACAACCTCAGTATGAAAATGGATGGCAAAGTGATTGACCGACTCCAAAGAATGGGAATGAATCATGCTTTTTGACTAAAATAGCATCACCAGTCTGCTCCCTGGAAACATCACCACGTTTCAATTTGTCACGAACTACTGGAAGCCTTTGACTCTTTTGTGACTTGCTGTGTAATTGCAGTTTTATAAAAGCTTTGGCATTTGGTTTTTGTTTCTCTTGTGACTCATGACGAGAGAGGGAAAGACTAAAATGTGATCCCTGAGTTGATCTTTTAACTGAAGTTAGAAGTAAGAACACTTTTAAAACATCACCCAAACGAAATCACAGTGCAATGCAAGTAAAAATTTAACCAGATTTTGAAAGACAGAGTGTTTCAAAGGTAGAGAATAGAACTGGACTCTACCTTATAATTTAGGCTTAACACTCCCTAGAATCCATAAAGTTGTTTTTGAGACTGTTTTGAGAAAAAGTAAATACAGTGTTTTTGTATTGAGCTAGAAAGTACTGAACTTGAAAAAGAAAATTCACTTGAAGGTCAATATGATACGGAAATTACTACCGTATGCTTCTACTTTATTTCATGGTCACAAAACTTTGTACTCTTCTTTCCCTAGCTCTGCGAGATCAAAATGAATGCCACTTACTTATCAAAAAGGGCCAATACTGCAATTAAGCCTGAATACTGAGGTTTTAATTTAGAAAAACAACTCATACATTAACATCTTTTGCCTTACAAGAAAAGCAAATGACCTGCATGCCATAGGTTCACTACCACTGACACAGATGATAATAATGTCATTTTACATATGTAAAATTTACTTAAACATAAAATATAATATATTTCTAGAAAAAGTATGGGAGAAAATATTTAAAAACAGTAATAATGTTTATCTCTGAACCACAGAATTTTGAGTGACTCTAGATTTCTTCATGATGGTCCATCCTGCCCAAATTTTCTATCTAAAACAATTATGTGTTAACTTTGTAAGTAGGAAAAACGAATATATTTCTAAAGCATATAAAGAGAAGTGTTTAACAAGCCTTTTAAGCTCAGCTGCTTCATTAATTCTAACAAGAAACATTCTCATGAGGATAAACTGCTCTTTATTTTGGGTTTTATCAACAAAATAAGCATAGCAGTGAGGAGATGTGACTCAGCCTGGCCTCATGGGAATGAGACCTACAGACTGTGGCCCAAACTGAGCATCCACAGGGAATGACCTTAGTCTTTGTTCACAGAAACACCTGGAATGAAAATGGTCATTATGTATTCTCTTCTTTGCTGGTTAATACATATGCAGATGCTTTACATTCTGAATGTGGCATTAAATGTTAAAAACAATAGAACAGAACTGTGAGATATATAATACATATACTCATATATACACACGTACATATCTGAATCTCAATACTAATCTTTATCCTATGCCATGTATATTTTTTCTTAAGGTAAAAATTATATTTTTCTTATGGTAAAAAATTATCTTTTCTCATATTCCAGTAGGAAACTGGAAATTTAGCTTTTTAAAGAGAGTAGCAGAGGGGCCCTGGATTAGGGGGCACTGAGTATAACGAAAGAAAACATGGAGATGATAAAGGTCAAAGTTTTGTTGTGAAAGTGGAGATCTCCAAACCTTCTTGTGGCCTCCAGGCACTGGACCTCCAGACAGAAGCATAGAAGAGCCCCCTCTGGGGAATGCGAGCTGCCCCAGAGGAAAGGGTGAGGGACCTTAGCATTTAGAGTGAAGATCAAATGCAGACAGCGAACTTTGCCCAAGGCCTGGGCCACAGAGTCGGGAAGGACGTACCTCTTCTCTAACCAGAAGAGCTGAGCACTGCAAGGGGACACCCATCATCTTGTGTGGATTCCATGTCACAGAGTTGGCCCTAAAATAAACAAATCGTGTGAGAGGACAGCACTCCATGTTGGGCTCAGGCCGCTAAGGTTTCACCAGGGCAGCAGAGCTTTATTGGCACTGTTTTTCCTCCTCTGGGGGGCACCACTCTTCCCAAACGCAAGGTAGGCTCTCCAATGGGCAACTTTTCCTGTGTGGAGATGGCAGGCTCGGGGATGCACTCCCTGGCTGGGTCTCTTCCCTCAAGCTGCAGTAGAAGCGTCGTTCTGCCGCCATGGTACTCAAAGACCCCTCCAGGGTGTCTGGGATCACTGAGTGCAGGGTCCTGACTTTGGCCACTGATGCGTAGAGCACTGGGCAGGTGAAAGAGAACATCATGCACTTCCACTGTCCCTGCTTCAGATGCCACTGCAGTGACCTGGAGCTTAGAGGGAATGCTCATTGCAAGGCTCCATTTTCCTCAACTCTATTTCTCCTTCTTATTTCACTGGTCACCGGAGTCCTCAAATGCTTTCTTCCAGAGAAGCTTCTAGCTAGTCTCCTGTGTCCACCACTTCCCTGACCCAGACCTATTTTTCCAGACCAAGAGTTAGCTGCAGTGTGGTGTCTCCTACAGGGGTTTCCAGTTGTTTGTGTCCTCGTACACCTGAGAAACACAATGTGCTCTCATCAGTAACTGCAGCTCACACAACAGTGATGCAGAGCTTGAGAATTTACACTGACAAGTCTGAACTTCTCTGTCTCTCTCTCTCCCTCTCCTCTCCCTCTCTCTCTCCTTTTCCCTCCCTCTCTATCTCTACTGCAGTACTGGAGATTGAACCTAGGGCCCTCACGCTGAGCTACATCTGAAGTCCCTTTTCATTTTTTATTTATTTTGAGCCAGTCTTGCTAAATTGCCCAGGGTGGGTTCAAACCTGTAGTCCTTCTGCCTCAGCTTCCCACAGATTACAGGCTTGGGCCAGCATGCTTGGTTAAGACTGAGGATTTTGAATTGCCATCTCAGCAGCCTCATTGAACTTTCCTTAATTTCTCTTCCTCACTCTCACTGGGCTGATCCAACCCCACTCTTCCTCTGATTCCCAGGGAAAGCAACTGTTCCCACCCTGAATCCCACATGCATTAGCAGGGCGAGTCTCTGTACTGGGTCTTCTAAGAACTAAGGAGCCTTTGAGGGTGAGAGCCATGAGTGTGGTCCTGGTATAAATAAACCCACAGGAGGAAAGAAAGTAGTAGAACAATCCACGGCAGCGGCTCCACAGTGTTCTGGATTGCTGTTCCCTGCTCCGGTGGAACCACGGACTTGGGCTCACTCTGCTCTCACCTCTCTGGCTTCGAGAGCCTTGGAAGAAATGAGAAGCTGGGAAAGATCCCATTCATTCATTTGATGAATGGCAGATGTCAGCCAGCCAGTCAGACGCTTATTGGCCCAGGGATCTTATCTGAGTCAGTGAATAGTCCAGCTCAGCTTTTTGTCTTTCTTTGGTCCTGACACTGGCTATTGGATAAACAGAAGAGTGCAATTTGGGAAATACATTGAGGACTGGAGCTGGGAAATCATAGGATTAGAGGATTAAATCACATAGCTTTTACTGAAGGTTCTTTCTAAGAAAATGTCTCTATAGAACCACACCAAAATCAAGGAACCTGGGCTCTGAAGCAGTAAGTGATACTGGTTACTAAAAAAAAGGAGCTCAGGAGCCAGATAGTATGGGTTTACATGCATGTTCCATCATTTCCTCTTGATCTTGAGCAAGTTATTTAAGCTCTCTGTTAATGATGTCCTCATCCATAGAAAGAGAGAAGTAGTAAGCAGTTTGCCTGTGCCTAATACAGGAAGCATAAACTACAGTTAGCTCCTGCTACTGATTTCATCCCTGGCACTTACAAGCTTCATGACTCTGGGCTAGTGGACACCATAATTCTAAACATCCTATAATATTTGATTGCTCTATGTCTGGTCCTGACCTCAGTTTTGTCAATAAGGATATCAGGCAGGACAATAAAACAGCTGCCCCCCTATTCTCGTGATTGTGAGTGTTTATTTCTATGCATGTGTCTTTTTATGTTTATCTTTTTAGGATCAAAGCTTCAAAGGGCCATAACCACCTGTCACTGAATTCTCGGTCTTGCTTTTGTCTCAGAGGCATGAGGATGTCTCATAAAGATGTCAGCACACTGGCGGGATGATTTGCTGACTGGTCTCAGTTTGTTTGAGAAATGTTGGCAATTTATGAAAAACAGCCCCAGGTTCATTTCCAAATGTTCTGCTGTGGAATTCAGTTATGTGGCTTTTGTAGCTTTTTGTGAGTGGGATGAACTGAATCTTCCAGGAAGGGTGTTGGAAGACATTTCTGTGCCCTTAGTTTCACCTCAAATGAGACCCCAATGAACTCACTCACTTTCCCCTGTGCACCCTTCCAGGTCTAGTTCTTCCCTTCTACAGCCTATGCTTCTGGGGCCATCTTCCTAGGGTATCCAGCCCCCAGAACCCGTGCTGTGGTTGGTTCCTCTCTCTCTTCATGTCACCCCTTGCTGCTCCATTTTTCTATCTCCTGGGCCAGCCACTCACCTCCCTCCCACCCCTCTGGCACAACCTTGGCCGCTCTCACTTCCTGCACCTGGACAGACAGGTGTGATCTCAGAGCTTCTAGCTGGCCCCTGGCTCCCGTCTCCTCACTAATCCACAGCCGTCATCCCGAACACAGAGACATCACTCCTCCCAGACCTGGTGATGGTTCCTATCGCTGAAACTCTTCATCTTTTTGTCTCTCCCTATGGAATACAATATTCTACCCATAACCATGGCTCATATGGGCTTGATCCCCAGCTCAGAGTCTTTGGTACACGGGCAGCACACCCCATGATTCTCACTGGGTGCTATGGTAGGTCTTCAACTGAGACTCCCAGCACAAGACCTCCATGCTCTCTGCCAGTTTTCTAGCCACTGCCATGAACCACTTTATCCTCCCAAACTCATCTCAAATTTCTCCAAGGACCCTGTGCACTTTCAGGTATCTCTGCTCTTCAGCCTCAGTACCCTCATGTGATGGTGCTAGTGAGGCTCCACCACAGTTGTGCGGTGAAAGCTGCCTGTAAAATGCTATTTAGGGCAAACCATTCCTTCCTCCATGCTCTCCAACCAGTTCACCGGGACTGCAAGCCTTACAGCCTGGAGAGTGCCACACAGCAGAAGACCATTACAGGTAAGCAGCAGCCTGGAGGGGCACTAATGAAGAATTGCTTTGCAATGTGGGGACCCCCTCTGGATTACCAGGGGTCTGGGAACACCCCGTCAGAGATGCCAACTCTAGGATTTTGAAAGTGCTAGCCACAAAGAAGAGAGTCATCTTCTGAGAAACTGGTTGGTTTTCAAGGGAGATGCCAGGCAGGGCTCCAGACTTGGACATTTTATTGTGAGGAAAGCATTAGGAAATCCCCTGCAACTATCTAGGAACCTTTGAATTCAGAGACAAGAATGGACCATGGATTTCCTTCACTTTTAAACTAAGTCCTAATCTCTGGTTTGCGATATTTGGAAAAAAGTAATTCCCTCAAGAAGGACACATCTTTCCTAAACGTAAGCCCATTACATTATACTCTAGCAGTGCCCTCTAGGCCTTTACCTTATGCACCAAAGAAAGTCCCTTGCATTAAGAAGTTGGCCAAATGGATTCTCTCAGGTGCCTGGGAAGCTCAGGGGGGCTCTGCGCTGAGCAGAACTCCAGCAATTCCCTCATTTCTAGGGCTTCATATCTGGCTATTTGGTAAATTGAAATACCACACACTCTCAAGAATTACAGCAGTAAGAACACAGAGCACTGCGTGTCCCAGGATGAACGTGCTGAGCTTTGCTCTCAAAGTAGTCTGTAGCACAGAGCACATTGGTGTTTATTTTTCTGAGACTCAAGGTAGGTAATTTAGCGAGTTCTCAAGCAGAGGAGGTTCCACAGCCTGCAGCACTTGCAGCCACAGATGACATTAAAGGTAAAACAACAGATGTGCACATTTGCACCTGCCAGAAAGTCTACAGATTTAATTGTGTGTGTGTGTGTGTGTGTGTGTGTGTCTTTATGGTGGTGTGATTGAACTCAAGACCTCGAACATGCTAGGCAAGGGCTCTATCACTGAGCTACACACCCAATCCCCAATCCATGAATTGAATTCTTGCTCTGATCATTTGAGTAGGCACCTCCCATTTCTCACTCTGTTTCTCATCTCTCTGTCTCTTGCTTCTCTCTTTCTCTCTGTCTGTCTCCTTCCCTCCCTCCTTCTCTGCCTCCCTCGCCCTCTTCTCTCTGGTGTTTCTCCCTGTTTGAATCATTGCTCTTGCTTAAGCCTCTGGTTTCATTTGGATCTTCATAATAGAAATAGATCAGGCTTAGCCGAAGCCCAAAGGACTGAGAGCAGAGGCCTAGAATGGACTGACTCTGGGATGGAGACCCACTGGCCCTCAGCACCCAGACACCTATATGGAGCCTGCAATCAATATGGGGCCTGCAATCAGGGCATGGAAAGCTCTAGTGCTTAAGCCAGCTGTCCCCAGGCCACACTCGGCCTTGGTCAGCAAAGTCAAGAACAGCAACCCTCTGACATGGGGCATAGCTGGCCCATCCTGACCCTTCCAAGCCTTCTTTCCACTAATTCAGCATAGCGTCCTTGGCTCCATCCCCTCCTTCCACACCCGTGGGCTCTCTGCATGTCAGCTAGCCTGAGTATCACAGAACAGGCTCTGCACACGCCCTCTGGCCTGGGCAGCCTGCACGGTCAGTGCTAACAGATGCTCCAGAGAGTATCAGCCTGTCTCCTTGTTCTGGAACAGGAATTGTGTGCCAAGATAGCTTCAGGCAGAGCCAATGTGAAGCTTTTCCTGGGCAGCATCTGGCCACTTGGCAGGGCATGGTGGGCATTTGGCAGCCTCTGCTGAATTCGGGCTTTTTGGTGGCCTGGAGAGCCAGTGCTCACGGGCATGGCTGACCAGGCTGATGTGCCATGTTTGCATGGGAACCCTGGCCTCCCTCTGCCTGTGCACTGGAAGAGCCTGAGGTTGTGTTTTACATTCTGCATTTCCCCTTTTGGACCTGAAAATGCTTTATGCTAATCAAATTTTACTTCCTTTATTCTTTGCAGCGTTTTCTTAAAGGTCTAGGGCTTAAGGCACTAAATAAAAGCTATTTTCCAGCATCAATCAGAGCTCTGTCAGTGAAGGTTATCATGAGAAAGAAAACCCAGGATGGTATTGTCATGAGTATGGCTGACTTTAAGTAAAATGACTGTATTAAACCCCGAACCCGAACTTTCAACATTGGTCAGTTATGAGATGCTTAATGTTTTGATTTTGTCAAAGGAGTGGACAATATTATTTTAAGGAACATGAAAGTTATAGATCTTCTCCCTAGAAAAGTGCGGACTGCCTGTGAGTTTTAAACAATTTTGGTGGCTAGTGCAGGGATCCCAAGAATAAAACCCAGATAGAAAACTCTGTTTCTGAGAGACATCCTGCCCAGCTCACTTGATGGGGGATTTGATTTTTTTGTGGTTTATACATTCTATACCTGAGTGCAACATCACACAAGGCTAGGAACAAAGCACAGGGCAGAGTGCGTCACCTGCAGCAGCAGTACCTGGAAATGGAGTGGCATTTGCTTTTCACATTGGGCTTGCAACACCTTACATTGTTAATAAGATAAATGCACGTACCTCTCCACACCGCTCAGCTTCCACTTGTGCTTCCGGGACATCAGTAATCCCCCACCCCAAGCTGCCTGAAAAGGAAGATCAAACAAAGGAAAAAGGAGCAGGTTTTCATTTCCATATTTTGGTGTCTTTCAGAGTAATCAGTCTCAGGGTGACACTGATCTTCCCAACCTCAGGCAACTAACAGGGGTTCGACACCTTGCTCTGGTGCCAGACCATAAAATTCAATTTGGAGGAGGGCTGTTCTAGGATCTCAAATTCTGGCCCCTATTTATGTAGGTATAAGGAGCCAAACAGGGGCACATTTCCTCAGTCTATATGAGTTGGACAAAGATACTCCCCGTACCTCATCACCACCACCTTATTAGTCCTGGTGAAGACCAGGTCCTCAGAATGAGAAACCATATGGTCACATTTTATGTAGAGAAGATAGACTAGGGACCCGTTAGTTTTCAAGTTGCAAGTCAAAATGATCCAACCCAGTGCTGTTCAAAGTGCTGGCTCACAGAGCAGAGAGATCTTTACTAAAATATACATCAACTATGACTTCCTTCCCTGAGAAAATCTTGCCATGAAAAATAAATCAACTGATCCAAAAGTTGTGCTTAGCTTGTGATGGTTTACGGTGGTGGGTGGTAGTCACATAAACTCTTTGCCTCACCATAGATCATGGGCAAATGATTCAGAGATGGCAGCTGATCTTCAAACCACACTTTGAGTTATATGCTGATCTTAAATCTCTTCAATTCATCCCTCTAAGAAGTGTTAGTTTTCTCATTTGGAAATGGCACACCTCTGTTAATTTTTAATGTAACTAAGTCTTGAGTGAAAACATCTCAAATATAATTTAGCTTCTTAGTTGACCAAGCTAGAAAATTGGGAATTTCGTAGTCCATATTTTTTAGTAAGTTGTTAATCTAGCTTTCAGGATACCTAACTTGAACCTGAGTTTTTGCTTGCTGGATTTCCTATATAAATGCAAATTCCTTCACAAATTCCCCCCTTTGGTGGCGCTAGGGACTGAACTCAGCTCTTTTGCATGGAGCTACATCCCCAGCCCTTTTTTGAATTTTAATTTTGAGATAGGATTTTGCTAAGTTGTTAACTTGTCCAGCTGGGCTCAAACTTGCAGTCCTCCTGCCATGAGAAAGATAGATCAGCATATGTTGACTATATGTAGGTTATATTCCCCCAAGGACACTGTGGCTCAGTGGATTAAAAACCAAGCATTCAGCTCTAGTACTGGTCATAGAAATAAGAATCCTTCATGTTGGGAACCTTAAGGCACAATCAGTCTCAGGAGGCTTCCAGAAAATACTGTACACCTTGTGGGCTGTGTGTTCCTTAAGGGATACTTACATCCACGTGCATCCAGATCTTGTACTTTTTGCAAATGTCAGCCACAGCTAACAGAGGATCAAATGCTCCATACACAGTGGTTCCAGCTGTGGCACTCACAAGGAAAGGAACAAACCCCTACACAAACAAGAAAACCCCACATACTGTAAACAGAGGTTCAAGGCTTCTTTTAATAGGCTAATTAGAAGCAATGGAAATCTTTCCCCTGCTACACACATATGTGTATGTTTAGAACTATCAGAAGGTTATCACCACTCTGCAGTCCGGTATGAATCAATATTCATTCTCGAAAATCTGCATTGTCCAGGTCATTCTGCTGAACCCAACAGCTGCCTTGTGATAGCAGACATTCAGTTCTCAGGAAAGAATATTCTGAGCTAGAGGTTGCCAGTGATGTTCACAAGCCATTTATTTATACACTCCTGGTAGCCTTTCTGGCCCCTTTAATCCTTTTACTCTAGTCTTTCTTCTTCACAACAAAGGCTCTGAACTTGCCACATCCTCTGGTGCAAGCAGGTAGGGGGAGGAGGAGAAAGAGTCTCAGGGGAAAGTTTCCATGGGGTCAAACAATAAGACAGGAGTTTAACCCATCTAAGTAGTCCTCAGTCTGTCTGGCCATGGCTAAATGAAGATTGACTGAAATAAGCTGTGGTTGTAAGAAAGCAGAAGAATGACATAAATAGAATTAGTCTTATCACTCACTCCATAATGACAGTGTCCTGTTGGTTTACAGAACATGATGTTTAGGAGTCAGTCTTTAGGTGGCAGCAAAGGCTTATTAATCTTGTGGTTTATGTTGTAGGGGGAAAAGAAAATATTCACTCCTAAGTTTATAATAATAAAATGTATATGTATATTGCTAAACTGGAAATGATAGATCACATTCACTAAAAATTAAACAGAGAATTTTAAAAACAAACTCTCTGACTTGCAAACCATTTAGAGATGTAAATGACTTTTCCAGAGCTTTGTGGCCATCTCTGGCAAGTCTTCAGAACTTCTTGCTTCTAAAAAAGAGTTCCAAATTACTGCCTACAAAATTAGATGTATGGAGAATCAATCATCTCAGCATGTGTTTAGGCAGAAAAAACTGGTCCTTTTAAATAACTGTATAATTGTAACTCACATGCTGCGTGAATACTTTGGTGTCTCCCACCTGTGAAAATGATCTTCAAATGTGTGCTATCTTAATGAGTATACTCAGCATACTAGGAGACAAACGCATTGGACACTGTTATAATATCTCTGTATAAATCCTCTATACAGCAATTTAATCTTTTCTAAGACCTGTATAAGTCTTAAATTTTTTCTTTAGAAAAAATGTACCTGTACTTATACAGGTACATAACAAAGAGAAACTAATAATTAGATGCAGAATTCCATATTCTCTTTAAAGCTAGGAGATTTGAAGATTGGATCCCGTTTTGGTTTAGGTCTAAAATGTCCCCCAAAAGTCTTACGTGTTTTGGGGCTTTTGGAAAGTGAATGGATCACAGGGGTACTATAGGCATGAGTGGATTAATCTACTGATGAGTTCATAGCTGAATGTGCCACCAAGAGGTGGGGCCTGGTTAAAAGATGAGTCACTGGGATTGTGACCTAGAAGGGCACTTTCTTGTCCCTAACTCCTCCTTCCTCTCTCTGGCTCTTGGCTACCACGGGTTGAGCAGCTTTCCTCTGCCAGGCTCTTCTGCCATGCCATTTCATGGACTGAACCCTTTGCAACCATTAGACAAATAAACCTCTCCTTCTTTAAACTGTGGGTGTCAGGTATTTTGTCCCAGTAATGAAAAAGCTGAATAATACAAGTTCTTTTTAAAAATAAAACCTAAGTGAGTTCTTTGGTTAGAAATGGAAGTACAGATCTTCAGTTTATTATGAGGTAGGTGAGATCCCCACAACAACTTACTTTCTGTTTGACTTCAAGGATTCTTCTTTCGAGATCAGATGGGATCATTTTTCCTCTGAAAAACAAAATAGATATAGCATAGGTTTGTTGGGAATAAGTTACTGTTTTCTTTACAATGTGAGTGGCCCTATGAGGATAAAACCCAATCTTATACCACTAATAATAATGCTCAGTTAAAACAGTTGTTTGCCTCTTTCCAGGAAAAAATGCATTTCCCTCCCTGAATGATGACACATGGCTCTAATTTCCTGGCATGTTTGGGAGGCTTCTGTACACACTGTGTTTAGAATGGCCATAGTGTCCTACTATTCTGTGGAAAGGCCGATCTTAAGTCATGCTCTTAATTCAGTTAAAATAAGCTTGATTTGGAGCAAGACATTTGGCAGTAAAAGGAGAATACAGAGAAAAGCCATTTTCATTCCAACATTTCTAGTGAGTCCACCCACAGTTCTACATATAGATGAAATGCCAAGAAGAGAAAAGATAGTCTGAAATACTTGAACCAAGTATTAAGTTCCTAAACCACCTAATTACATTCCAAGTGTTAAGAGCATGAAGTAGACCAAGAACTCATGGTCTCAACTTTTAAACATAGATAGGCATCAGAGGAAGAAATATCATTTCATTCTCAACATATTCCTTTCCTAAAGTGAAAGCACAGATAATACTTTCCTTGGTATTATGATAAACAGAAGAGCTTATTTTAACAACAAGCCAAATATGGTTGGATGTGTGATGTTACAAAGGTACTTAATTTCCTGTGTCAAATATCCCTGGAAAATAATAGTACTTAGAGAGTTATGAGGGCTGAATAAGTTAATCAAATGATATGAAAAGTGGTTGGCATTTATTAAGTGTTCAATAAATGTTGGCTTTAATCAATGAGATTGTTTTTATGCAACATGACATTCCCATTTCAAGACTAAGGAAGAAGAACAGGCAAAGGACAGATAGAGTAGTTACAAGGTACTGTAGGCAGTGAAGTATTTTCTAAGGTTGCTAAACATTTCACATTGGCATTATCAGTGTAGGTTTTATAAAGACGATTTGGAAAACTAAGTGAGAGGTGGTATCACAGTAAATGGCTGGGAATGCCATTGGCACTTAGAGAGCAGCGAGTGGGGTTTTTGTTTTGTCACCAGCTCAGTGGCACGTTTGTGGATGTTCCTGTGAATCCGGTTGTACGGCAAGCATTGGGCTGCTTTATTACATCATTTGGTGTTGTCTTGCCTAAGCTTTTACATACATGAAATATGGTATTTTATTACAAATTAGTTCTCTAATGTTTCTTCATTTTTAAAATTAATTTGAGCATTATACAGTAGGTGGGTAAGTGATATTTTCTGCCATTTTTATTTCAGGCCTGTAAAAGAGGTGTAACAAAATAGCTGGAATAAAAAGTAGACATCAAACCTCAAAGCACAAGAATCACTGACTCAGGTGGAGCTCTTTTCCAAGGCAAAGCTGTTCACATTCAGTTACTTGGGCGATGGTAATGGATTGGCCCGGGGTAGTTTGTCTGGCTGGAATGGGACAGAGGGCGTTGTAGGTAGATTGAGGGTACTGGGGCTGGGGAAAGGAGCCCTAGAAAGCATCTCCCTCCCTGAGTTTTCCCTACCCTTCACAGCGTGGCCTGTGGGCCTCCCTGAAAGTAGTAAGGTTCAGCTTCAGCCAATACTCCAGCCCTGCTGTCAACAAAATGCTTGTCTTACAGAGGGAATTCCAGTATTATATTATATTTATCTTTTATGTACAATTTTAAGCACATTAATATTGCCACAGAATCTTTTCCTCCAGTACTGAAGACTAAACTGAGTGCCTTCACATTGAGTTATATCCCCAGCCTTCCCTTTTTAAAATTTCATTTTGAGACAGGGTCTCCCTAAACTGTTAAATTGCCTTCTGGCCTGAGCTGTCTAGAGTCCTGGGATTACAGGCGTGTGCCACCATGCCCGGTGCCAAAGTACTTTTGTAGGTAAATCTGAAACTTTGTTTTCTAACTTTAAACACGAGGGTTATTACACAAGGGTTGTCACATAATGATCTTCCCTATTTTGTACACAATTATTCTTCCTCTCCATGGAAAAGCTGCTTCTGAACTTCTTGTATGTGACATCAGGCTGTAACAGAATAGTAGTAGAAATGCCTCCATGATTTAAGTTGAAAGCAGTATTGGCATGTGGCATGTGGCTCTGGCATCCAGTTTCAGGAAGGTACAAGTGTTTTTGTATTCAAAAATAAAAAAATAAATGATCTGTAAGCATGAACAACGACAGCAGTAAGCCATCATATATTGTAACTGAAACCCAGAAGGGTGGGCATGTGATTTCCATTACATCAGCCAGCCTTCTTTTCATTTCCTTCACCTGAATTCTCTGAAGTTCCTGGGGAGGACCCTACGTGCTGCTTCCTGTCACAGTTCATGAGTGAGGGCCAAGCACTTTTCTAGGCTAGAGCATCCCACACCCATCCCACCACTCATCCCACCCATGGTCCCCATGGCAGGGTCCTTCTTCTCTGTAGGGATTTCTGTGACCACAACTTCCACTGACCACCCCACAGCATCCAGCAGAGCAGTTCTTACAACCTTTATTGGATCAATAATTCCTTTCTTTGCCATATTCACAAAGTCTCCAAGCATGGCATCATAGCCAACTTCGGAGGTTACTACAGAGGATTTTCTCAATTATCAAAGATCCTTCCACATGAGCGTTCTTTGCAATGGTCATCGCAGGGATTTTCAGTGTTCTTTTAATAATTTCTATACCAATTTTTTGATCTTTGTTAGCAGGAGTTAAGGCCTCCAGGGTGGGAATGCACTGAAGCAAGGCACAGCTGCTCCCCAGCACAATGCCTTCTTCCAAGGTTGGCCTCATAGCATTGAGGGCATCTGTGATCCTGTCTTTCTTCTCAGTCACCTCAGCATCACTTGTCCCACCATACTTCAGCACAGTTGCTCCATCTGAAACCTTTACCAGCCACTCATTCAGTTTCTCCTCCTCATGTTCACTGGGTGTCATCTTTGGTCACGATGACCTCTCCAACTTTTCCTAAGTCGTCAAGTTGAATATCTTCAAGCATCTTCAAGAGTTAGGGTCGACCCCTCTTTGCCAAACACAGCAGCACCAGTAGCAATAGCCACATCTTTCAGATGGTTTTTCCTACTGTCTCCAAACCCTGGCGCTTTGACTGTAACAACCTGAAGACCAACCGTTAGCCTGTTCAAAACCAGGGTACTGAGAGCTTCTCTGTCAAAGTTCTCAGCAATTATGACCAAGGGCTTCCGGTGAGCACTGGCAATTTTAAGAGTGGGTACAATGGACTGGATGCTAGAGATTTTCTTCTCACTCAGTAGAACATAGACATCCTGGATTTCAAAGTTCTTGACTTTCGATGTGTTAATAAAGTACAGAGAAATATATCATTGATCAAACTTCATGCCTTCAATAATTTCCAATTCATCACTCAGGTCTTTCTATCCTTCCCTGTGATGATGCGCTTCAGGCTGACCTTCTTCATGTTGTCAGATATGATGTTGCCAATTTCTTTGTCTCCATTTGCAGAAATTGTAGCAACCTGAGCAGTTTCTTCAGGGGTTGTCACAGGTTTAGACTGTTTCTTAAATTCAGCAATCACAGCATCAATAGCAACATCACACCTCTGATTTCCATGGGGTTTGTGCCTTTGCTGATCTTCTCGAAGCCTTCCTTGGCAGTGGAGCATGCCCGGATAGTTGCAGTGGTGGTGCCATCCCCTGCCTGTTCGTTTATGTTGCTGGCAACATCTTGAACAAGTTTAGTCCAGATATTTTTGTATCTGTCCTTTAAATCAATTGACCTTGCAACAGTCACACCATCTTTAGTTACTGTGGGACTTCCCCAGCTCTGTTCAATAATCACTGTTCTTCTCTTTGGTCCCACTGTAATGATGACGGCATGGACCAGGAGGCCCACACCCTGAAGCATCAAGGCATGGGTGTCTGCACTGAATTTCACGTCTTTGGCATCAGCCCTAGTGAGCTGTGGGGTCCGCACCCAGGACCTTGGTCTTGCCTGGCTGAGGACAGTGGGAAGACCCAGTATTTCTGTGGGGTGGCAGTGGGAGCACACGAGGTGAGAAAGGCTGTCGGTGGTGAGTGGGGTAAACATGAAACTTACGAGGGAAACTTTTTAGAAATTACTTTGGAAATCTTGAATGTGAGCTAGTTTATACCAGCTCGGAGAATGTGGGTGGCTGAGCTTGACAACTGATACTTGCACATCTAGTCACATTAAGACATTTTGTTAACAACTGTGGGGAGTCTTCCCAAGAGAAATTACTGCAGGTAAAAGGTGGATTGTAACTGGAAATAAAACACCGAACTCCCAGAACAAAGTTAAAAGGACCAAATGTATAGTAAATCTATTCAGGAAGACTGGAGTGTGTGTGTGTGTGTGTGTGTGTGTGTGTGTGTGTGTGTGTGTATGTGTGGGTGGTACTGGGAATTGAACCCAAAGCCTTTGCATTGTGCTAAATCTCCAGTCCCTCCACCTTTTAAATTTTTGAGACAGCATCTCTCTGAGGTGCCCAGGTTGGGCTCAGACTTGCAATCTTCTTGCCTCAGCCTCCTAGATTACTGGAACTACAGGTGGCTAGATTCTGCTATGATGAGATAATCTGTGGCTTTCACGAATCAGAGGTGTCATGGAAAGCAGAAATAAACACATAGTCTCTTTCATTTCTGTATCAATGAGTTTGGGCAGGAGGGAGAACAAACAATAGGCAGGTTGATGGCTTCCAATGGAGAGGGAAGAGACGGGTGTGGCACTTGTCTTTCCTAGGCACTCTACCTTCCAAGTCCCTTGTGTTTGGTGCACTGAGGAACTCATAACCTGAGACAGGCAGATGGTAGAAAGACATTAGCTAGAGGTATGCAACTAGAAGGAAAAATTTAACCAGCGAATATTAATATGTATACTTTTTCTTCCCGTTTGACCTGATAGTGAGTGTGGGGACACAACTTTCCATTTTTGATCTTAGAATTGACCAAATTACTTTGGAACGCTAATTCTTAAA